TACTTCTCTGTACCTGGAAGCTTTTCCCCAGATGTTACTTTAAAAACTGCTCTACAGCTCTTTCAATGGTAAGCGCCAGCAATCTGATATTTTGTTATAGGTAAAGCCCATCTTTCCTGTGTAGGCTTGCCCCTTCCCCAAAGTTTTGCCAGTTCCTAATAATCTAAACCCCTCCTCCCTACACCATCATCTCATCCACACATTGAGAGCCTCCAGTTCTGCCTATCTACTTGGCCCTGCATGGGGTACTAGAAGCATTTCAGATAACACAACCACTGAGGTCCTGTATTTCAATCTTTCCTAGCAGCCTAAAATTTGGCCTCCAAGATCTCTCTCCTATCCTTCCCTACATCATTGCTTTGTACATGTACGACCACCAGCTCCTCCTCAGCACTATACATAAGTCTATCTAGAGGTCTCAAAAGATCCACACCTTCACAGCAGGCAAGCAGGTCGCCAAGTGGTACTCCTGGCCATGGCAAACCCAGCTGTCCACAATCCAAACTTCACAGGTATGACATCTCTAGCAGCCTTAGTGGCCCCTTAAGTTTTGAGCATTATAACTGGGTATTGACCACTAACTTTTTTTTCCAGCACAAGTCTTTTGGAGGGGGTGGTATTTAATCATAATGATCAATCACCACTGCTGTAATCACATTAGGTTTCCAAGCAAAAGACAGATCATCATGTGATACTAACTTTGGTCAAAGTTTTGGAACTTGGGTATTCAAAAACTTAAGTGTACAGACTTCTAAATAAGCATCTTCAACACCCAAGACATCTTGATTTATGGGTACTCAGCATCTCTGAAAAATATTCAGACTTGTATATTGAGGTATCTCCATATACTTAGGTTTAGCACCTAGCTGTAAAAATGTGGCCTGGCATTCACTAAATAGGACTTTGTAGAATTACTCTAGTAACTTACCTTTAATGAGCCCTTTGTCACCACCACCTAGATTAATCTAGGGTAGATAAAATAATTTAAGGCAAAAGTATTAGAACCTTCCCTCCCAGCAGCCGAAGATCAAGCTGTGCTTGCTATATAGCCAAGGCTTCCATAGGTAATAAAGATCCAGTAATCAGTTTTATTGGCAATTTTGATGACACATGAACACTTTTTACAACCAATAGCAATTATATTGGTGAGCTAAAAAGATGGAACTCTGAAGACTGAGTGCTGAGCCTTGCTGCTAAACTTTCATAGAAGTTGAAAGGCACCAGAGCCATGGAGAGCACATAGATATTTCTTTTCATCACCACATGCTAAAATCCTTTTCATATTAACAGCATACTGTCTATAATCTTTAGTGTGCAATTATAAAAAATAAGTTACCCTTCCTCCTGTTCAGTTTTATTAACCCCCTACTCTTAAACTTGCAAAAGCCACATTCTGTGAATAACCAAGCAATGGCAGCACAAATGCCACCCATCTGTCCTGGTTTAGTCCTTATCTGAAAGGAGTTTGGGGTAAAAGAGCAAGAGACTGCTGTGTTTGCAAATCCATTGAAATTCAAGCCACACCAGCCCCTTATGCAAAGCTTTTAAAAGATGCGTTCACCTCTATCAAAGAATATTAAACACTGAGCAAAACATAGTCAACTCTGTTTAATATATATATATACACTCTGTTTTCATCGGCAGATTTGTACAGTCTTTTCCAAAAATCCAGAACACCCAGTTTCTAACACTCTTCATGGCACAGTAATTTTAAAGTGCTTGCTTGATTTTGACTTCTGATTAAATAAATAATTTTTACTTTTAGGAAATTGCCGCACTTTAATAATGTCACCAGCTGGAATAAAAGGATGCAATGCATGAATCTCAGATCTGAATGTCACTGTGGAGGTGATGTTTTGAGGGGGGTGTTTTATGTTCAAAGTAGCCCATTTAGCACTTTCCCTCAGGAAAAGCATTGCAAGAGTACAGTAAAAATGGGAGACAAAAACTCCAACGCACAAGGGTTAATTTAAGTCCCCATCTGGAAAGGATCTAATCCATTCAGAGCTCTAATTCTGTCCCTTAGAAGGAACAGTGACAGCTCATGTATGATGCTGTAGTCAGAATAGAACTAACAATGTGATAAGAGCCTAAATAGTTTCTTTGAAATGTAAGTCAGCATTGAACGAACTTTCCTCCCCAATATTACTCAAATCTAAGTCTATTTGAACACCTTCTATAGACCAACCCCATATATGCTTTTACTAAACTTTGTTTCAGGCACCTATGCTTCTAAAGAAAGCCACATTCCGTATGAACTCTACTTTACATTCAGCACCTCACATGCTATATCCTCCTTCATGGTATCAAATGAGAAGGGAGATTGGAGCTTACTTCATGGGCTCTTTTGACAGTAGGCCCATCCAAAGAGGAGCACTCCTTCTGTAAACCAGTCATTCCAGAAATGAAAGTTCACTTCTCATCTGATTTGACTTAGTTCTTCCACAATTACCTGCATCCATTTCCAAGATCCAAACAATTTGTAAAGTTAAGGCCCAAAGCCTATCTGTAAATCAGGTGGAGATGCTCTTTCTGAACCATTGCTGGGGCAGAAACATTTTAACCTTGTAATACAGAAGATTGCTAAACACATTCCCTACAATGTCTAACCACCAGCTACTAACAGCCATGCAAAGAGGGTTAAAAAGTTGCCAGCCCATTAGGTAGTCCCAAAACCTAGTGTAAGAGCACAACAGCAGCTTCTGCAGATCTGCATCAGAAAGGTCCATGAAGGAAGATGCTCCTATCCCAATGGATCCATTCAGGGTGGCATAATTTAGCCAATAATAACTAGCTTCCATCCTGCTCCAGCCAAACTGTGGAACATGTTGAAGGCCTTTGTATGACAACATTAATGATAAGGTAGGGAGTTTAATTGGATACAATGTACCAGCCCATTCTTTGGTGGGATCACTTCTTTACTATGGTTGTAAAGAACGAGGTTCTAGAAAAATCAGCATTTTGTATACAGGATTACTTTGGAAGAAAGTTTTAAAATTAGTTCCTTCAATAGAAATGCAAGCTGAAAGATCAAAATTACTCTCTCCTTAAATAGACTGAATGAAAACTTGGACCTAGTGAATTCAGAATTTTCATTAGCCCAAAGTCAGGAAGCAGAACCACCTTTTGGTTAACACAAAGATGCTTAATGTGGTCCTCTTTGGACAAGATCAGTACAGAATACCTAGAGCTAGTAGCAGGCTTCCTTAACTTTGTCCGTTCACTAAGATCAGGTTCTTCTGTTCTTGGGCAACTTATGCTAGGACTCACCCAATCCATCTACACAAACATCTTTTCCAGATTGATATCAAATACATTAGTTACTAAGAGAAAACTTCTGGGTTATGTGTTGTAAAAACAAGGACCACCTTTGGATACAACAGGAAAAGCAGCTTTAAGTTAACCCCAGAGAACAAGCAGTTAGATGGAAAACAGAAAAAGGCAGCAGTAGTAAGTTTGCTTCTAGTAGTACAGTAGGAAAGATTTTGCATTTCTTTCCAACAGCATATACAATCCTTCGCTGGACAGCATTCAAACATCTAGCAGTGTTTAACTTGAGCATTATCAGAAGTGAACTGAGTTGCTGCATGTAACACTTGCCAACTGTGAGATTATGCAAAAGAATTGAGTTTAAAAATGTTGCATATAAACGGCATTCCCATCATGTCTTTTCAGTCAAATAACATTGCCCAAGGGACAGATATTGGTCCTCATCATAAGTGTTTCCTGGAGCTGTTTTACTTTACCTCAACGTCTTACAGTAGCTTCAGCTATGTCTGTTCTCACAATCATATGCACAAATATACTATCCTTTGTTTTAATATATCTAGTTGAAGAAAACCATAAACTAATAACTTTTGTTAAGGGAAAAAAGCAGCAGAGGCAGCACGAAAGATTATACAGATTGATAACCAGTACGACTTTTCCTTCTTCCAATGACATAAGAGATAAAGACAAGAATGATAAGGAAGCCAAGCGCCACACCCACTGCGATGGGGATAAGAAAGTTCAGGTCAGAATCTGCAAAGCATTCTTCAGCTGTAGAAGAAAAAAAAAGTGAGGGAGAGGAAGCATTAGAAACCAAACAAGCAGGGAGCAAACAGACCCTTTTAACATTTAATCCCTCCCTCTTTTTAAAACCTGTCATTCTATTTTTGAGGAATAAGGGATCTTGCGAAAAAAGGGTTTTTATCCAACAAATGGCCACATCTACATGGGGCTTTTTAGCAGCAAAACCTCTTCCGCAAAAAGAATTGGAAGATATGCAAATGAGCATGCCATTTGCATATCCTCTTCTGCAAAAAAACGTGTACACAGCCTGAAATCACTAGACCCTTCAAATCAACCATTGGTTGATTGAAGACCCACAAAATCAGCTACAGATTGTTTTGCAGTTGACCCCTGTACTCTACCCCTAACAAAAAAGTTGAGTTAGTGGATGGGAGAATTTATCCTGTCAACCTCCCCTCCCCCTGCAGTAACTTGACTTAAGGTATATCAACGCCAGTTGCTTGACTCTAGCCATGTGAATAATGTATCTTAAGTCAAATTACTGCATTCTCAGGCCATTGCTCTGTTTTCCTTGACAATGAATATCCCTGGGTTGCCTACAGCTAGAAGGTTCATTTGAAGTGTTCAAAGCAATCTGTCACATTTGGCCCCATATACCACTCTGAGTGAAGGTGTCTTCAGATCTTCACATTAGCATTCACTTGCAATTTCTTGCTCTCTCCAGACCTCTGGCTCTCTCACTGATGGCAGCCACAACCCAGGACAAAGTATTAATTGAGAGAACATACTAGTTGATCACTATGCAAGAGAGATTTTACCAGGATTAAAGCATCAAAATGGCACATTTTATCCCCACCCAACTGATTTCATTCCTTCATACATCACTGCATTTTCAGAAGTGTATGGAAAATGAGAACACAAAGGATATAGAAAGCAGCACTGTACAGATGGCTGTAAGAGAACCAAAAATATATCAGGGCAGCTGAAAATACTGAACACACACCACAGGCGCATATAGCTTTATTTTTTTTCCATCCATTCAGTACAAAGATCATGGAGATAATCACTTGAAGAATTAAGTAACTCATTGAAATCAACAGCATCATAAAAACATTTGTTGTAATGCCACAGTGGTTTTGCACAGTTTTTGGAGTACACATTAATTCTTCTGTTATAAATGATAAATTCAGAGTCAGTATGGGCTTCTGAGCATAGGATTCAGACCTAGCTCCAATGCCAACTCTAATCCCTTGGCAAGTTATACAACAGTCCTAGCTCACTTTCCCTATTGGTAAATTAGGGAGAAACTTACCCTCACTAGCCAATTGCAAGGACGTCATTTAACACTGCTGTTCTTTTTAAAGCAAAGTGAGCATCCAATCCCCCAAGCTATTGGTCTTTGCTGGATGACCACTACCAAGAGGCAGGAGTTAAAATAACTTTTATAGACATGCAATCTAGTTCACCCCAATTCAGGTGGTATGATTTTGAAACCAGTTGTAAAAGCTTGGGAGACTGCTGCTGAAGAATAGGGTTTGTTTACTTTTACGTTTGAACAGAAGATGCATCTTGGACAGATGTAGCACTCTAAAAAGGTAGCAGCTACTACTTAAGTACTCCCCCATAAGTTGAATCTAACTTACAACCATGGCCTGTGGGCCATTTGCAGACCAATCAGCGCACAGCTACACCCTCAGTGTTGCCCTGTGTGGATGTAGGCCACAACACAGACTGCACGTATAGCCCACATGCCAAACAGACTGAAAGCCACAGGTTTAGAAGAGATACTGAGACAAATTTATCTCAGATAGACACTTGCTAACAAACTGCCACTTATAAACCCAGCTTTCAGAGAATAAATGGATACAAACTACATTTTCCTCCCTACTATCCAACCAAAATACGTAAAAGTCTAGCCTCTGTGTTCATTCCAATTCAGAGGCCGCTGCTGTGCAGTACAGCATTGTGAAGGGGACAATTTATGGTACGAGCTATTTTTACAAGTGATCACAACTCTTTCAGGTTGCTATATAGTATTTACAATTTCATCTTGGCCACCTGCTACTCTGAATTTTGGGAAGGTAAGATTACGTGAACACTAAGTAGCACATCGGTACTAAGTCATTAATATGAACACAAGCTGATTTAATACTGAAAGGTGCCAAGTAGCCACCAATAGATTAAGTTTACATTAGCAAGGCAGGGAGATCAGGTTAGTTTTCTCAGATCAAATAAATGGTTTGGAACCTAACCTTTCAAAGCTTGGTGTGGCTACCAAGTTTGCAAATTGAAATACGGCTAATTGTACATTGATTCTACTACTAGGGCTGTGTCTACACTTGGACAAAATTTGTTGTTCATGGTTTAAGGACCCATGAACAAAGTTTTGCTATGGCAAATGCACACGTGAATGTTGTTCTCAGCAGGCATGCTCTCCTGCCAACAGACCAAAACTCTCCCCTAGAGGATGGAACTTTATTAGCAAAAGTGCCAACAAGCAGTGTTCACACAAGCTAAATGCAGCATTATGTAGATGAACCCATAATCACTGCAAGTCTGTTGTTCAAGACAGAAGGGGTACATTCTCTGAGGCATTTGGAAGCTATGCAGACTGGCCATGTGAATTCACAAAGACTGTGGAGTTAAGTTCCTGCCCAACCCATCTTCCCTTCTCTTGAATATCAGCTTTGACATTGGAGAGAGAGTCATGAATGCCATTAATTAGTAGCTCAAAAGACTATAATATCCTTAACAGTATTTTTGATCTGTAGACCAGCTGTACAAAGCAAATGAACCAAAGTGCAGTTAAGCTTGCATACTCAAAGCTGTATCCAGAGAACTGCATATACAGAGCATCTTTAAGTTGCAAAAGTCAGTTTTAACCATTCTATTAGAGACAGCCACACAACAGCTGTATTTGACAAACTGCATATAAGGCACTAACCTTTATTAGTATTGGATGTTGCAATGTATGATAGTATGTTAATACTTGATGACATCCACAGCTAGTTTAGTACTGATGCCATTCACAGCAATTAGGAACAAAACTTCATTCATATATAATCACACTGTACATAAGATCATAGAATTACTGATGTGGTATTTTTGGCAGCACTGTTTCCATATCCAGAAGATGAAAAACTTTAGTATGACTGACCAGAATAAGTCACTCAAGAGGAGTTGTCAGATTCACACAGTACTAATTAAAAATCTGTTTCTTAAACAAGAGTCACTTTCAATAAATGGTTTTGTCAAATTATTCAGATGTAAGGAGAGTTGTTTTCCCCTATAAAAAAAGCTTTCCCGTATTTAAAACTGCTGATACCCAGCATTACGGCGTTTCTTGTGGCCTACAAAATAAGCCATAAGTACTAGAGCAACTAATCCACCCAAAGCTGCTCCCACTACTATGGGCACAATGAAGTTGTCCACATCTGGGCTGCAGTCTTCAGCTAGATGGAAAAAGGGAAGTTTGAAAAGAAAGCCAGATGAATAGAAATAATGAACATTGCAACCTCTCCATAACTGTTCACATAGCTTTCCATCTAGTATTAGAGCTCTCCTTCAGCCAGACCCTGTTTATAGTTTTCAATGCTACCCCTCCCCATTTCAAAGACTTTAAATAGGAAATCCCATAGAATCCATTGTGTGTGTATGATGAGATTAACAAATGTAATATTCCAAATCCCTTCTTGGAGCTTACCACTTGTCTTCCCCCCACTCCGCAGAACCTGCAGGCCTTATTTGGGCAGATTTTCCATAGTTAAATGGAAATAAGGCAGTGATGCTGAAAACTGTTAGCTTTGCATCTGAGTGTAGTGCAGTTGAAGATGTGAACAGCCTGCTTCTCTTTATTAAAGCTATTTAAATTTTTAATCAAGAGTAAAATGCTTTGGAACAGTCATCCAAGTTTTTGCACTGCAAGATGAGCAAGTTCATTACAAGATGCAAATCTAGTAATTTGCAATTTTACCATCTGGTCTCATCCTGGAAGATATTTCAGAGAAGCTTAAGGGAATTAGGTGCTTAATCACCATTGAAGTTTAGACTTTGCCTAACTTTCTAGGAACTTTTTTTTTTTTTTAAAGTGTGAAGGTTCACTGATCTTAGATTAAATTTAAACTGCTTTTGACTTTAATCACACCACAGGCTGTGACTAATGATGCCTGGAGGATATGAAAGTGAGATTATCTTACTAATTGACCCTAGGCCAACAGCCAGGAGTCAAAAGAAAAGGATCTTTGATTTTACTCATCCCCCCTCCCTAATCAGACTATTGCCAATTCGATTCTGTATACCAAACATATAACCCCACTGTCAAGTCAGACTAGTAACAGAGGCGGGCAAGTGAAGATTTTAGTATTCACTCTTGAATCAAGAAACATATGTTACAGCATAATTATTAGTGCATGGTGTGACGTTTCAGCTAATGCACCGAATCTGTAATGAAACGATAAGAGTAGTTCTCCAGGGTAGAGTAGACCTACCTATCCAACATTTTCCCATGACATAGCTGTCAGTCAAAAAAGCTCTTATGGAGTTTTGCAACAAGTGATCAATTCTAACTTAAAAGCAATAAAGAAAGCACTTACATCAAGTACTGCATTTGAATTAACTATAGAAATGTTAGGAGAAGTTTCCCTTATTCAGAACGAGTTTTATGCCTGCTCTTTGGATTTCTGCAAGACAGATTTATGCAACATGAAAGTTGCATGCAACCACTTGGAGTATAACTGAGGCAATTGCTAGGCACCTTTTCTGAGCTTTGTAAATAACACCTACATCTTGCTGGCAGTTGAACTAGCAGAATCAGCTCTAGGTAACATTCTTCCTGCAGTATTCTGGGAAAGCTTATCCCCTTCAAGGACAGTACTTAGATCTTAGTGTACAGGAAGAGCCTTTACAAAGCATGCACCAATTCCAGCAAGAAAGAAGTCCATATAGTTCTCTACTTATAGTGAATGAAGTTATCCCTAGGTAAATTTTGGCTTGATAGGAGAAGCATTGTAAAGAGACTGACCTATTAATCTTGGCTATAACCTAGTCTGTTTAAGTTTGACTACTGAAATTAATTATATTTTGTAAGTCCACTTGAATAGAGAGGTATTACAATTCACTACAAGTGGGACAGTCAATATTCTAAAGAAAGTAATTTAATATTTATACTAGTGTTTTTAGAAAAGAGACTACTCTATAAGCAGACAATCCCTGCTAATGCACTTCAGAAAGATGGAGAGAACAGGACAAGAGAAGATTAAGAAAAGTTGTCCTACAATTCCAGCAATTAGGTTGGAGACTGATCTAATATAAGAACTCAATCATTTTTAGTCAAGAGGAAGTCTTTTTTGTGATTACTACAATTCAAAGAAATCATTGCTTTAATTAAAAAAGTTACCAAGATTCCTTAAGAAATAGAAGAATCTTTATTGTTTAAAGGAATATGTAGATTAAGCCGACAAGCAAGTCCCCACGGAGAAATACAATACAGAAAACTAGTGGTTTAAACACATGTATGAAACTTGATGTTTACATGAGCTAGTTACCTGCACATTGAATCTAGTATTTGGAGAGCTAATTCCTTGAATAAATCCAGTGTTTTTTCTTAAGTTAATATTTTTACACCTTCAAGAGAAGGTGAAAGTTTAGTCTGAAATTCAGAAATAGAGCTTGCATATGGAAACATGGGAAATATAAAATATTAGATGGACAAAAATAGCTGTAATAGGTATATTTTTAATCAGCACTTAACTGGCACATGTAAACAACAATTTCTGGCATTCTATGAAGACTAAGTGTTACAATTAAATATTTTAATATAATTTATGTTTTTGGAGAAATTTGCAAAATAAGAATTAAGTTTGAAAATAGTTCCTCCCATTTACATGTCTAGTTTTGTTAAGGTTGATAGACTTAAGCCTGAGTTCTGCTGGGAATAAGCATTATCTAATTGTTCCTTCAATTTTAGAAGAACTGTCTTAAATATATAATAGCTGCTATTAAATCTCATGTTGTTACTGAGACCCAATTAGTATTAGATTTTTAAGAGCACAAAAGTCATATAGCTCTGTATAACTTTAACAAGCATCTACCACCATGACAATTCCAAGCCAATTTTAAGAAATTTGTAACTAGATTTCCCCATGAAACTCAGCCTGCCCTATGTTCATTAATATGACCAATCCAAGTTTATCACACAAAACTTATTCCTTTTTGGAAAGGCCACCTTTTTATATGATGCACTATGAATTACACCACTAATTAGGAGATTTGAAAATAAGCTCTTAGATAGTGAGGGCTAGTCCCTGGAGAGCTGCAGTTTAAGGAACAGTCCAATGGCATTACAGGTTTGTGTTTTAAGTGGAGGACCTACTGCAAATAAAGAGAAAGTTGCACTGAGTCATACTTTTGCATTCTTCACCGCATTAGTAACTCCTACACACAAATGCACAATTTTCACATTTCTGCACAGCACACAATTAAGTACAAAGTTCATGAGTCAGCAATTAGATGCCATCGTGTGACAGTTACAATGCAAATTGTTAGCAAAGAACCATTTAATATGGATACTTAATATGGATATTTAAAACAGGTGAAGTTGTGAGAATTGATTTTAGACCATTAAACTGAGAGCTTCTTTAACAGACAAAGGAAGTGACAAGACAGACTTTGAGCAAGGTATGCTTGAATTAAGTGCCCTTTAAGTCCTAGAAATACTTATTATTTATTCCCTTTTAAAGACTGGTGCCAGCAAGAATACTGTACCACGGTAGATTTGTCTGAGTTTTGATATCTTAGAGGATACCAGGTTAAAACAGTAAATTGGTTCCTGTTCACTTGTGCACTGCAATTTTCTGAAGCATTTTGAAACTGGGCTTTAACTACAAGGTAAGCCAAGTTAAATTTAAGTTACCCCCTTAATTTTCATATGTAAACTACAGGAATGAAGCTACCAAAATGAGAGGCTACTGCAGCTCATTGGAATTAAATGGGTTACTCCTGTCACTTCAATGTAAGCTTGCTTGAAAAGCCATTAGCATGGCATTTAGTGCTATGAGCCAAAGATGTACTAGGCACTTTGAAGACCCTGGCAAGCATTCCAGGTTTAATACATCATTAAAGGCACCCAGGTTATCCTGCAAATTGTGACAGTAACTGAGGAATGCAGGTGAGACAAGTTTAATGCAATTTTACAAGTTGTCCAGTGCATCATTTTAGTGCTCCAATTTAGGCTGTTCCCTGCGTCACTTAGTATTCGTAATACATACATGATTCTCAAGTTACTTGCAAGGTAATAACTTGAACCTAATAATTTGTCAAATAAGACTTGTATGCCACTTCTAGTAGTTATAAAACTGTTTCTTTGTTCAGGAAGCAGAGTTAGATCCCCAGTGTTTATCTGACAAAATAATCAAAAAGAGAAAGCACCCACAGTCTCCAGCCCTAAATAGATGATGCAAATGTTTACTTGAAGTTTGTTTGCATTTGGGAACTCGCACTTGCTTCATTTAAAGTGAGACTGGAACAGTAATCACATTCAGATTTACAAGGTTTGATATCCAGCATAGGTTTTTCTTCTGCCAATTATGTAAGCAATCACTATAATGATAATCAAGCCCGCAAGAGCAGCGCCAACTATAATTGGTATTAGAATGGTGTCATCATCCAGCGGACACTCCTGGGCTGTAGATGAGAAAAAGGTGGTAACAAGAAATAAATAAAGAGACAGTATGCTATGGTACTTCTCTTGGGAAACAAAACTATTTTCCTTAACATGAAGGCTCAAAGTTACTGGAAATATTTCTCATATCTGTATATTTTAGTAAGAATACTGTACAGATTCATGGGTAGTTTCCCTATGTGCTATTCAGAGTTAGCAGATCAATGCACTTTTGGTGCAGAAAGTAGCATATTTACTAAAAAATGTTTAACAGGCTTTAGAGAAGATATTGTAGGGCGTAAGTTTATGTCAGTTTATCAAATTACAGTATCAATTCTATTGGAGATTTAAATGCAAAGCTAGAAAAAAGCCAGGTTAGTGCAAGCCAGGCTGAAGTGCATACACAGATGTTTTATATTAATACAAATGTATGGTTCCAGTGTTGAAAATCCAGATGAAGATGCACTAAGCTAACATGTGGATGATGATAGCAGGGAGCACCAATTGTAGTAAGAATTCATTTAGTAATGTTTAAGGCAGCATTCAACATTACTATGAGGTGAGGTCTTTCAAAAAAAAGATTTGAGACGCTTTTCACCTCCCATTCTAACTTACAATTTTCAGTCTACAACTCAGAAGTGAGCTGCAAGCATTAATGAGCATCTGTTGAAAACTAGGTACAGTATGTTACATTTGGCCTTCCACAATGAGAACTAGAACTGTTTATACTGCATCTCTTCAGAATTACTAGACAAGATTATTTTCCACACCCTTAGTCAATGCAAGATTGTTCTTTGCAGTAAGAGCTTTTTCCATTTTTTTGGGATTCTTATCACTGGAGTCATCCTTTCCTCCTCTAGCCCAATGAAAAAGCTTGGATAACATTCAGCAAAAGTGGTCTTTCCAAGCTTCATCCCATTATTTCTGGGGCAGTCTGGATAGCCTCCCTCACTCCCAGCATTTGCAGCTTTCAGTAATAGTATGGAAATCCTAACTCCCTAGGTTTTATATAAAGGTCCTGTTGTCAGTTTGTGATATGATTTTTTTTTAAAGCAAGTTACTTCAGGGCTAATCACTAATTAAAAGCCAGGTGTTCATATCAACCAGGAGAGAAGGCTGGTGCTGTTTCCAAATGGGAGTCTGAGGCTCATTTTAGCCTAAGCAAAAATAACATACCAGCCAATTAGTTATGCTAGTATCCATACAGCTATTATCCACCCCTATGTTATGAACCTTGTTAGAGCATCCTACAAATCTGCTTGATATTGTGTTAGTCTTACCTTTAGAATATCTGTCGTCTTCCACTCTGAATGGCTGAATCCTTAGATCAAAAGTATGTATTTGAAGGTCTTCAGTCACCACAACAGACTGCTCTTTTTGGCACATGTATGAACTGCCAAGGAAGGTGTCCCAGAGGCTGAGGTTGTTGTTTCCAGCATTTAAAGGTTCTTAAAATAAAGATTTTAATATGGACACTTGAGTTTTCTCTAGACTAAAGAAAGCCTACAAGTGTGCCAAGTTCAAAAGGTGTGCTAACAAAATAAGCCTATTTAGCTGAAGGCCACCAAGTCCATTTCTCAGCACTGTTCACTCTGAGGTGTGGTCATGTAGCAATTTAGAAGATTTACTAGTTTGTTGACTAGAGGAATTCAGCTTCTGTACAGAAGGCGGCGACTTAAAGCAGTTACATTTTCAGAAGATCTAAGTCACTAATCTACTCACGTGTTCTTGCATTGCCTTGCATCACTGCAATGTAAACTGCTTATACAGCTATACTTTTTGGCTTAGACATCTTGTTATAGATATTAATTGCCAACATATTAACAGTAGGCCTGCATGACCCAAGCCCCCAACCCCTATTTAAGAATTTTAAAATTAAAAACTGGTTTCTAGAGTGCTACAGAGATCTCAGTGATCTAGAAGACGGCTGTTCTATATGGATGGGAAACTTGATGTTTAAGCAAGTGTTTTAGTAGAACAGTGGTTCTGAATTTCATAGCACCCCCCCTTTTTATCTGTATCCTTCATGGCTCCTCCTTCCTGAAAATCTATACTTGTACAGGGGCAGTACATATACCAGGCACTAGAAACTTGTGGGGATACAAAATTTTGTATCCCCAAAAAAACTGCAGATATCTGCATCCACAGATGTAGAGACCCAGATAAAAAGCAGATATCTGTGGATTTGCATATCTACCAGGCACCCAGCTCTGAAGGCAATTGTGTGTCAGCAGCAGTGCTGAAGTGTGTGTGTGTGGGGGGGGGGGAAGAGAATGGTAAAGTGATATTTATCAATATCACTTCACATCAGACTTTGTGCCCATTACCACCCTTACTTCTGTGCTGTTGCCTAGTCCTTGGTAGGACTTCTGAAGGCCGTCCTCCCCTCCCAGCAGTCCATCCCTTCTTCCCCCAGCAATGATCCCCCATACCTCCCTCTGATACTAAGCCATAAAGCATCTTACCAGAGCCATTTACAAAGCTGATCAGGGTGACGTTCACTTCCCTCAGGTAGAATTTTGGTACGTTTCCACTTGTGTTTTTCTGTTTTAAGAGAAAACTCCCATGATGTTAAAATTGAAGGTTATCCCATACACACAAGTACATATACATTTAAAAGTACATACTGCAGGAATGATCTTCTGAACTACAAGCATGAAAAAGCATTTACTGAAAGGCTACATGTGAGTTCAGTCACTTTAATAGGACGTACATCTGTGCATTAGACAGGTTACTGAAACAGGACACCTAGCAGCAAAAAATTAGGATGTGCGCTAGGATAGGGATGCAAATGGTTAACCAGTTAACGACTAAGCCTCACTATTACTGGTTCTGGCTAACTAGTACTGGCTAGAGCAGCTCCCTGCCCTCCTTGAGAAGTGGGTTGCTCCAGCCCCCCAGGACCCACCATGGGCAAGGGCTGTTCCAGTCAGTGACTCAGAGTACCCCTGCCTATAGGAGGTCCAGCTCACCCTCCCCCGTCACAAGCTTCATACTACTGAGTGTGCAGTTTCTGTAACCACTAGGATTTTTAACAATTATGTGGTTACATTTAAATTACTCCTAGAGTAGGGGGTGTAAAAAGTAATCTTGGGCAGTCAATTAAGAAACTCAGTTGCGTCACCTGAAGTGTAAGATGCCAGCCACCTCTACAACCCCGTAAGAAACAATGAAAAAGCATTTAAGACACAGGCACTATGCAAATGTTTACACAAGAAATGAAGATTTTATTGGAAGTCTAGTGCTCACTCGTAATATGTTACTTACTAAAGCAAAGGTGAAATCAATAAACCTTCTGTTGCTGTCGTTCAATTGCAGAGTAGCAGATGTGTTGCCACAGCTACCAGTGGCAGCAGTTGTCTTTGGGTTGATGTTAATCAAAGCAGGCTGAAATTAAAACCAAACGTTTGTCAATCAAGACGCTTCTAGCTGTTCAAAAAAAGACAATCTGCTGCTGTCAGAAGGATTCCCTATTTCTCTCTCAATATCTCGTCTTACTCTAGAAGAAAGAATCAAACCAGGTAAGTCAGTCTACCACAGCATGAAGAATCCTATTTAGCCAAAACATTTTAGTGGCACTAAAGGCTAGCAGTACTGGACAAGATAGGAAAAGATCTTGCCCACCAACACTCCCCCATTCAACGGTTATGGAGCACAGGACATATCCTTTGTTTATTTTGTGCATCAGATATTATAGCTCTGGCAATCAGATGCCTTAATTCGAGCTCCCCCTGCAGTTAAGCAGAGCATCTGCAGACTCCAGCCTTAAGCTACTGAAATGCCCTGGTTAAGTTACAATATCAAGCATGGTATGCCTCAGCAAGTTACCATTTTAAACAGGTAGGTCGTTTTGGAGCTACAGAGTATCCCTCAGATAGATATGGAATAGAGAGGACATATGTAACACTAAGGTAATGCCAAATATTGGTTGAGACTTTAGTCACGTATCTATATTTAAGCAAAATCCCCCACTATTGCAGCAATCTTAGAAGAGGTCATTGCTTTTAAGATACTAAAACCAGCACCTTCTCTTGGGAGGCATTCAGCTGCAGCCCAATTGTAGCCAGAAGACAGGTTTTACCACCATTTTTAAGAGAATAGTTTCCAATGAATGGTTTCTCCGCTGGCTTAGAAGTTGTAGTTGGGGAAGGTGATGAAGCAGTAGTGCTAGGTAAAGAAGTGAAGTTGGCAATAGTGGGCATAACAGTAGTTGAAACAGTAGGTTTATCAGCATCACATATAGAATCTGAAAAAAAAAGAGAGTAACATGACTTCACAGCTACAAAACTGAACCTCCAACAACTGACTGTTCTACTGTCTTTTTTGCAGAGGGGAGTATTTTAGCCTTAAGTATACTACAGTGTCTCCTGCTCTGTTTCGTTTTGGTAAAATCTTTCACAATAAAGCATGCAGTAACAGTGAAGTATTTCAAACAGAATAGTCTTTCCATTAAGAGTAACAGAAGCAGCAATATAGTTCCATTCTGCACTGGCAAAGTTAGGAAGTGGTCACCATGCTAATATAGCAGATGAAGGCAGTAGGCAGAGGAAGTTCTGGCCAAGCTACTGGCTTTAAAGGAAAAAAGCTTAATATAAGCCTTTGACAAAAGGTGTCATATACTAAGATGCACACAAAGCATATGAGGCTATTTGTTAGCCACTGCCAAACTGGCCCCCGACAATCAAAATACTGGATATAACAAACAGGCAGTATAACTTGCTTACAGAGGTACCTTAAGATTCAGATATAATCTAGTTTTAGTGATACTTGAATTAGTTGCAGCAGCATATTCAAAAATACCAAGTCAGCTAGTAAATACTCATTAGGAATTGCATTTTTCCTAATGTGTCTGCATCACTGATTTAGTTTCATATCAGCAGTTAGCTCATGATGTGCACAAGGACAAATGCATGTTCATACTAATGTTGTTTCAAGAGTTTAGTCAAGGTAAGTAGCAATTCACGATTTTGCAACATGAAAGTCACATTGGATAGAGCCACCATGCAATTTTAAGCGACTTACCATTTTTACTAACAGTGCCATTTTGAACAAAAGCCTGCAGAGTGACATTCCAGAAGAACTGAGACACATTTGCAACCTCAACAGAGTCCAGGTGATGACATCTGTAGACAGTATTCAGTCGGACTGGATGCAGAGTGTCATTTGCAACAATAGTAATCACTTCTATAAGCAAGAGTACAGTTTAATCTTCATGTGTTTGAGAGAAAAGTTTACAATTTAAGACCGCTAACTGAATTAAATGCAAGGAGCAGAATTCCCATAAATGTAGTTACCTTTAACATCTCTTTGCTATGCATTTCCCTTCAGGTCTACTTTTTCAAGTATTGTAGAGCTAACTAAACAAGTCTTAGAAAATAAACTGCTCATCCCAGCAGGATACTTCCTTTTAAAACTGTTATCAAGGTACAAGAAAGGAATCCAAAGCTACTGCTTTGTTACTAACTGTGCAAGATTCATAATCTTTTTAGTGAAGTGCTGTGAATTGTAAAGATTTGTATTGTAGCACTAGTATTTTTAGAGACTGACCAACTCATTAAAATCAGCAAGCATGTAAAACTTTCCTCATCCATATTGAGAAAGATTCTAGTAGATCACTGCAATTATAAACAGTAACTTGAATCTACAACATTCATAAGAACTGACAAGATGCTCTTATTGGTCTACAACAGTTGTAAGAAAAACAGACCAGGGCAGAGATACGAATAGCTATAAAAACAGTAGCAGTATGGTACACTGCAGTAAATGCTAGTTTTGGTCATGTGCAGCTACATTGCAAGATAAAATCCCACATTTTACCTTTTTTTTTAGCATCTTTAAAGGCTACATCACTGGTATTGTAGGTAAATGTGATGATGTTCCCTCGATAAGTTTCATTTGTCTTAGTAAAGTTTAAACTCCAAGAATGACCTGCTCCAAATTGTATTGCTAGTAGTGGGTCATGTGTCTTATTGCCACAGGTGCTTCCCTTATGCGTTACATTGGTAGATGGTTCTAGAGTTACATTTTTCTAGAAGAGAAAGGTAGTTAATTCAGACAGACATTCCCCTCATTCTGGAGTATTTCCTGGAAAGTCTCAATTCTGTAGAAGTGGAAGCTTCCTATTTGTTTCCATTAGGAAATGTTGTGTGGAACAGCTAACTGAACTCAAAGAAGGGTTAAGAAAGTTACTCCATTATACACATTGTTCTAAAGTTTACCACCACTGGAATTAGAAAAGTGCTGTGTTGGACTCAGAATAGAAGTTGAAAAATCTAGCCAAAGGTCTTATCTTGCCTGCAAGACACTAGCATTTAGATTAGTGGTCTCCAACCTTTTTATTCCTGGTATTTTTCCAAGTGTAAGGACAAACCAAGATGTGCCCCACCTTTCCCTAAGGTCCCACCTCACTCACTCCATCCCCTGCTCTCATTTACTGACTTTTAACAGGGCTGGGGCAGAGGGTTGGGGTTCAAAAGGAGCCGAGTGGTGCTGACTGAGGAGTATCAGAACTAGGGATGTTCTGATACTAGCCTGGTGCTATGTGTGCTGGCTTTTATTCAGGCAGGCAGCTCCCAATGGCCACTTTCTAGCCAGAAACTGGCCAATGGGATTGTGCTGGAAGCAGGGGCAGTACCTGAAGCCTCCGCCCTGGATCAAAGTTTTGCAAGAGAAATGGCCCAGGTGCTGATTTTCTGAGTAGTGTGTGGGGCAAGCAAGGGAGTTTGCCTGGGGCTCCCCACTGCACCCATGGGCTGGATCTAGTGGCTTGGCAGGCCGGATCCGGTCTGCAGGCCATATTTTGTCCAGGCCTGTTCTAAAATAATCTTGTGACCCCTCCTCCTACACACTGCTTTGTGTGTTAGGACCCTTACAATTACATCACCATGAAATGTTAAGTTTAAAAAGGCAAAAATGATGAAGCTTACTATTTTTTTAAATCCCATGACAAACTGACCAAAATGGATCATGAATTTGGTAGGGCCCTAAGCATGACTGAATGGTGTGATTGAGTTTTAGGAAGGACTTAGAAATCAAATATTACAAATATTACAAGATTAGCAGCCTGATACTTAGCCTACTTATTGGAGAAAGAAAATTTTGTTTTGAAGTTTCTCAAGACTGAACATGGAAATGAAATGAATAGTACTTCTAACAGCAGAAGTTAGCATTAAATTCAATACTTACATATTCACTACTGTTTGTTTCATATTTTATCAAGAAGCTCATCATCCATTTTGCATATATGCATGTAGTATTGGAGGAATCTTTCACCTCTACTTCCACTGCATGTGACTGGAAAACCCCTATAATATATACAGTAATTGTTTGCATGTAAGACATTGATACTTCATTTTACAGTGTATTTCACAAATTAATTCACTACAAAATGTTTTAAACAGCAAATTCTTTCGGGTTTACATTAATTTTACTAGAGACATGAAGGCTACTTGATTTTCTAATACTAGAATTAGCAACACGATATAACTTCTAGATTTAAGTTAAGTTCTGGAGCTTTTATCTTGTCTTGCTACAAAGTAAAGAACATTTCACACAGACATTTAGCTCAGCAGAATTCACATTTTATGTAAAGGTAGCTAGGAAGCAAGATGTTTAGAAAGTTTGAGCACATTGGAATTTGTACTTGAGCTAAGCAGCTTGTCAGATCTTAAGAGGTTATGTCATTAATTCATTTAATTAATATTTGAACACTGAAGAAGTTTTGTATGTCAAGACAGAATTCCCTAAACAAGATGGTAAGAATGGCCGTAAAGAGTCATTATGCTCTGTTTTAGCAACAGATATGACCTAAGGCAGGGCTAGGCAAATTATGGCCTACAGACTGCATGAAGCCCAACAGAGCTTCTGACCCATCCTGTAGGATTACCAGGCCAGTGGCACATTGGGGCTAGGGCCGACTTCCTGCCCCATGCCACTCTCAGAAATCACTGGCACATCCCTGCAGTCCCTGGGAGGAGTGAGGGGGACAACAGGGCTTCATGTGCTGCCCTCACTAGCAGACATCATCCCTGCAGCTCCCATTGGCCAGGAATGGGGAAACTGAACCCCAACTCCAGCCATGAACCCCTTCCTGTGCCCCCAACTCTGCACAAGTCCTACACACATAGCCTGCCACCCACCTTCCCTACCTAGATGTGGCCCTCTGGCCAAAAAGTTTGCTCGCCCCTGAACTAAGGTGGCCTGCAAATTGAGAGTCTGTGGCTCTGTACCTTTCTTAAAATTGTATTTTAGTTTCTGGACTTTAACCGAAGAGCCTAGTTAGTAAATTTAGTTCCCCTTCTGACTATAGATTGTCAATGCTACAGGTGTTTAAAAGTCTAACTTATGGGCACTTCTTAGTCAGACTTCACTTACTTGGTATCTACATTATATTACTAGCTTACCAGATGACCAGTCTTCCAGAAAAGAGACTAAAAATGCAGGACTTGACCAATAAAAAACAAGCCATTCCACAAAAACCACCACAAACCCTGTTTTAGCAGCATAGATCTCAAGTTTCTTTTCCTACAGAATGCTGAAGATTTTTGACTGAGTTATTCTCAAAGGCATTTTGAGAGAGACAGTATAAAAAAAAAATCTAACAGTGGAAACTGGTTCAGCTTGTAGACTCCCTAGCTGCTGACAGGTAAATCAGCTTTGAGACTGGGCTACAATTTGCTATTGTTTCCCAAATATTATCTTTTATATTCAAATGACTACTTAAATCCAGTGATTTAAGTGATAGTGATAGCCAGTGTGTGATAGTGAGTCACACACTATCATTATTGACAAGCTAGAACTGACTTACTCTTATTATGGAAAGTGTAGCACCAAACACCAAGTTTCAGAAGCTTTACTGAAGGAACTTTGAAATATTAAATTGTACTTGTTACCACTACAAATTATTTTTATTTAGAGAGATTATAAATTAGGGAGATTACACTTAGATGCTTTTAGTATAGCAAGTGATTAAGACTCCAGTTTGGTTTATCCAAAAAGTGTAAGTGTTAAGAAATTTTAAATACAAGTGTCGCAATGCATAAGCCAGCTTGCCTATGCATGGTCATTTGTTAGTAACGTTTCAGTGTTCAGAAAAAGCCAGTCAAAACTCCAAAAAGTCAGTGTTAGTACTTAAGGGTTTACAGTTTTGATCTACACACTCTACTTTAAAAACCAAAACAAAGTCTGTAATGTACAAGTTTCAAAACAACTTCCACTGGAGAGCACATATGTAAGCATTGACTGAGCTGTAAGGAATTGCAAAACCTGGTCTTAAGCAAGCATTCAAGCTTCCCTACCAGACCTTGTAAGTATTAGTCAGCCCTCAGCTACTTAATACCCCCCCCCATTCTTCAGAGAAAAACTTGCGCCTAGTACTAGACATTTTTCTTTAACCTCTCAAAAATGTTGCCTTCACCATGCTCCTGGCCCCTCTACTCTAATATGACAGGCTATCATGCATCTTTGAGCTTAGCAGACTGTACCCATTACAGAGAGAGTCCAAACGCCTCTGCACGTGACCATTACCAGAACTTGTCTCAACAAACTATTTCTAGAGACTGGAAACCTGAATACTGCAGTTATAGAATGTTTCACTTTCGTGTGGGTTTTTTTTTTTTTTTACCATCACATTCAGTAAGGGAGATGCTTAGTGTTGCTCGATAAGAATCGCTACCATTTCCTGCTCTAGATAAGATAGGAGAGCAGTCTTACAGCAAGATGTTAGTAAAAGAAGTCACATGGAAATAAAGTCCAGAGGTATAGACATAAGAGTGGCAGTAATATAAACTTCATAATCTTCACATTATTATATATTAAAGATTATGATAGTTCTTTAAAACCATGGCAGTTATTCAAGACCACAACATGATTTATTAAGACAGTCCAAATTTTCATACGTATTCTACGAGCCACAGAGCACAATGCATGTAGCACTGAAATTACTATCTTCATATTGCCTAATCCTATGCTGCTTTTAAGACAAGACACTCATAGCAAGGACTTGGTTCTATTTTGTGCTGCTGACTTGCTCTGCAGCACCTGAATAAGTCTGCCTCATTTTCATTTTATGAAAAAAAAAAGCTACTGATGCACCTTCAAATAAAGTAAAGATATTTGAACAAAAGTACAACTGAAGTGCAGCATTCTCCTTTTGTCTTGCAGCTGAACTATTCCAATAAGAAAGAAGAATGACAGCAGAATTTAGAGCAATACCCTATATATGTAAAAAGAGTGCTCTTCCTGTTACTAAGATAAGAAAGAAGAATGACAGCAGAATTTGGAGCAATACCCTATATATGTAAAAAGTGCTCTTCCTGTTACTAACAATTACAAAGGATGTCTGGTTATAGTGGTGGGCCCTATTCAAAATGGAAAATTGGATAACCTGGTTTTACCTCAAGCCTACATTTTCTAACCCACCCATCACCACCTGCAGAAATAAATTTGAAAACAATGATAACTTCTGATTCCTCTGAGAAAGTAATTTGTTCTGATGTGATGTGGATGCAGCAGAAGCTAGGGTTACCATACATCAAAAGTTTCCAGAAATAGCCTCTTTGAGCCTGCTTTCTCTGGGTGAGAAAGGATTTCAAACATGGGGGGTGGGGAGAAGGCTTGCAGAGCAGGCAAGCTGCAGCTCAGAAAGAGCGCTTATTGCTCCCTTCCCTGCATCTGATTTGCCCATTCCCTGCAAGCCACAGCTGCTGGATCCCTCCCACACTCACCCCAGTCCTAGGGGAGGAATCCCAAAGGGCTTGTGCCAGCTGCCCTGCTACACTGACACCAAGTGACACTTTCCTCAACTCCACTGAGTATCCCCCAGGTTTCTTCTTCCCCAAGCATCCTTTATTTTGGGAATCTGGAATACGGTAACACTAGCAGTAGCAAGTGGCGGCACTTACCACTACAAGTTTTGCTGGAATAGCTAGGCCAATAAGAGGTGTGATGAAGTGTGATTTGTGACTGAAATAGCTGTTCTGGCAGAGAAGTATGTCAAAGACCAGACTCCTGATCCAAAAGAGAAGTGCCACTTTGAAAAACACTTCACCTGCTGAGTTGTCTGGTGAAAACCACAGGCTAGCTACTCTCACTTTGGATTAGTTCACCCAGTGTGAAAGGATATTGTGCCAAACGCACCAAATGAAGAATTACTTGCATCCATTAAGGTGTGGGGAAAGATGCCACTTAAAGTTTACCCAGCAGAGTATTACTCCAGCATACTCTGTACAGTTTGGATTTCTACTTGGCTTATTTGGACCTGCAAAACTGTAAAGACCGATTTGGCTACAAGTAAGAACATGTTTTACAGGAGGAGACTCTTGTTCAGGTATTTACAGTTACAGTTTTAGAGTGCTCTTGTGGAATACCCAGTATTTCAAGTAACAATGTTAATCCAACAGCCCAGAAAGCCATCAAAATGCAGTCTGTTGGTCCAAATAAGTTGATATATGACAAAAAGCTGGCTACTACTCCCAATGCAGTCTGTTGGTCCAAATAAGTTGAGAGATATATGACAAAAAGCTGGCGACTACTCCCCTATCCTTTTTCATTTTATTCTCCTATCCCTCTGGATAACTTAATATTAACCTGACAGCATAATTCTGTAAAAATATCAATACACCAAGGCTGGAAACAGCCTTTTCAACAAGTCAGGATTGCAATTAATTAGAAGAAATAAAATTCAGCACCATTTTCACTTTGCATAGGAGATCACATTGGGAAGACCTAGAGTTAGCACTTCTAGTCCATGTCTGTTCATCCCTATATAATGGTACACACTTCTATCCTAAACAGTAGCAAAAACAAACCTAAAGCCAGTTTGAGTTTGCAGTGAGAGAAAATCCAGGCCTTATAGTACAGAGTCCAAACTGAAATGCCACATTAAACAAAACAAAAAAATGAAGCCGTTAGGTAGACTAGGAAGGATTAAAGAAGCATTTCACAGACACCATGGGTCTGTTTAACACATAGAAGAAGGGAAGACTGGGGGGCAAGGAAGGGAGCACACCCTGGAAAAGAAGAAATGGAGAGTTATGACTGCCCCGAATATCATGTTGGAGCATCTTTACTGTGCTTTTGCCTGAAGCCCAGTTGTGCTCTCAGGGCACCCTCCCAAAGGTGCCAGAAAAGCAGCCACACTTCAGCTCTCACACAAGTGCCAGGAATGCTCACCCCGCCTCCTTCTCAGGGCTACCCCCAGCACACCCTTGAGGGCCCAGCAGAGCTGGTTTGAGTGCAGGGGGACTCATCCCCATCACTCCCAGGGCAAAAACCTCTCCCCGTGGTCTGAGCCTTGCCTCGAGGGACCAAGCTCCGGGACTTGGCGCACCTGCGAGCGAGATCCGCAACGCAACGCCCGGCCCCCAGCAGCCATCGCCCACTGCGCAGACATG